AGTAACATACTACCCAAGAAATAGAATCTTATAGATCTTGTCGTTCTTGCTATAAATTAAATAAGATGGAAGAAGGAAGTTGTAGCTAAAAACAAGGATGGCTCATAGGTTCTCCTTGGAGAAACAAAGGCATTAGAAGAGATGATTTTATCATGTGTCCAAATGCACTAAGAAATAAAATTCATAGAACAGCTCATATTACAGTGCTCATGGCTGATGTTGTTTGTCCTTTATTCTTGAAGAGGACTGTGACATCAGGAAGATAATATCATGACTTGCAACTGAATTGGACCTAAGTTAGGAGGGCTGTGCAAAGTCACCAGCCTCACGTTCTCCTTGAGACCCATCTGGGTCCAGTGGCAAGATATAGATCAGGACAACTGGAGATGGTCCCTGGTGCTCATGGTAGTTATTTGCAAAAAGACCAACATGAAATAATTGTATAAGCACCAATATTTGTTGGGCAAAACTGGGGGGGAATTCTAGGAACAACTTGATCAGACCTGCCAAATTAAATCAAAATACACACTAAAACTTGGTGACTTCAATTCACAAGTGAGAATAGGTGAAGGTGATAAGAGGGGGGAAAGACTTTTAGATGACACAGGAACCTAATTTCTCTACATCATTCATACTTTGGGAAAATATTAGGTAGATGCTAGACATAATGAATAATAAATAATATAACCCATATAAAAATGATTATATTTTAATACACAGAAAATGACCCATTATTTTGTTTCCAATTTTATTAATTTATTTATTTTTAGTTTTCAACATTCACTTCCATAGGATTTTGAGTTCCAAATTTTCTCCCCATCTTGCCCCTCCTCCACCCCAAGATGGTGTGCATTCTGAATACCCCTTCCCCTAATCTGCCCTCCCTTCTATCTCCCCCCACCTTTTCTTATCCCCTTCCCCTTCTATTTTCCTGTAGGGCAGGATACATTTCTGTACCCCATTGCCTTATTTCCCAGTTGCATGTGAAAACAGTTTTTAACATTTGTTTTTAAAACTTTGGGTTCCAAATTTTCTCCCTTCCTCCCTCCCTACCCACCCTCATTGAGAAGGCAAGCAACTTACTTGATACAGGTTATGCATGTGTGGTCATGCAAAACACTTCCATAGTAGTCATGTTGTGAAAAACTAAGTATATTTTCCTTCACCTATCCCACCCCTCATTTATTCTATTCTCTCTTTTGACCCTGACTCCCTCCTCAAAAGTATTTGCTTCTGATTACCCCCTTCCCCAATCTGCTCTCCCCTCTATCATCCCCCTGCTCTCTTATCCCCTTCCTCCCTATTTGTGGAAATCATTTTTGATTCAGCTGTTTGAGTATAGTCAGACCACCAACTTATAAGGACAAAGACTGAAACTGGTACAAAACCACAAAAAAGAATAAAAATTAGAAAAATATGTGGCAATTGAAATGATTTAATCCTAACCTTTTCAAATAAATGTAATACTAACTTACTCAAACAAAGTTATCTATAATGCAAAGTGGATTGTGGATGGAAGAAAGGGTATAGATACAGTCTATAGAAATTTCATACATAAGTTTAACCAATGTAGATCAATTGTGAAAACAAGGAGATCAAAAGAATATTTTAATACCTTATTCAGAAAACACTCATTTTTAAGCAGAGAGATATATCTCAAAGATAATATATATATATATGTATGTATGTATCAAAGACAATATTGGTTTAGAATATAAACTTATTGGTAAAGTCTTATAGAGAAGGATAATGAAAGATTATAAGCAGTACTACTTCATAAAATGGAGGAAAATATTAATAGTTAAAACCAATTTAAAGAAAGCTTGGTCAGAGACTCAACTCAACAAAGTCATCCTGAAGGTATTTAAGAGTGAAAATTCCATGGAAGGAGGGCAATAAACAAGAAAAAAGTGGGAAAAACTTGTGAAGATTTTTTTTAACAAATTATTTTCAACACTGAGGACAGTAGAGTCACCACATCTGGACATTAACATCACAGCCTCAGATGTACTCATAGAAGTAGAAATAGTATTAAAGAGAAGAAAGACCAGAAAATCAGCTGAATTAGCCAAAGTATGCATAAAGGAAGCCTGTGCTGGATCAGTTGGGAGGATATTGAGCAATCAATTCACAAGGTTACTGAAGGCAAAGGAGATACCAAAGGCATAGAAAATATCTTAGATGTTATTAATACCAGAACTTTTTAAGGTAACAGAGACTATCAATATCTATTGACTTATATGTCAACTTACCCATCTATGTAAGTTTATGAGATCATTTACACATGCTTCAGGTGAATTGAGTCAATGAGGGTATTGGCAGGGAGCAGTCATTTTTTTTTTTGCAAGTGAAATCCCATGGTAGACAATATATTTGTCATGACACAATTTTTCAAAAGTACAAATCCCCACCCCCTCTCTTTCTCACAACTTGTGTGACCCTGGATATGTCACTTAACCTCTCTATACCTCAGTTTCCTCATCTGCAAATTGAGGGGGTTGAAGAAGACCCCCTCTAAGATGTCTTCTAGCCTTAAAATCTGTGATCCTATGACCTCTGAACTTCTCCCAGAAATAAAGGTCCATCTTTTTAATACAAATATTCTACTAGTGTTGTTATATGGAAGCAAGACATAGAACATAAGTCTTCAAAGACTTGAAAATGAGTTATCACCTAGAGGGCAATGTACAGGTTCATGCTGGATGTGAGCAGACTGCAACATTTAAGTTGGTAGAAGGAACTTTAAAGAAGACTGTCAGTAGGGAAACATATGATAGGAATAAGTATTGCCCTCACGATAATGATGGAGGATAAAAGGTAAACAATCCTATTGCACCAGGGGTATACTTGTAGCATCAGGAGAAAGTGAGGAATCCCATCCCCAGCATACTGGACAGGTCTCCAGGAAGCAATTTATGAGAGTACATGGATAAGAGTCAAACGGAATGAACAGGCATAGATGGGTCATATCTTCAGTGCTAGAGAAATCATTTCACTTTATGAGATAACAATTCCATATAAGTATTGAAATAACATAAACCTAGAATGCTAGGATATACCAGATAGACAAATGGAGGGTGCTTAGATTTTCTGCTGACTTGGGGACATGATTAGGTATAGTGCCACACACCTGTGATCCCTGCTGCTGGGGAGGATGAGGCTGGTGGATCACTTGAGTTTGGGAGTGCTGAGGAGTAGTAGGGCTATTGTTGATCTGGTGCCTGAACTAAGTCTGGCACCAATATAGTGAACCCCTGTTAGTGGAGGGCTACCAGGCTGCCTGAGGAGAGGCAAAATAGCCCATGTCAGAAAAGCAGAGGAAATTAAAGCTTCTGGGCTGATCAGTATTGAGTCTAGGCCCGTGAGGGGCCACTATACTTCCAGATTAGGTGAAATAGGGAGACCCATTCTTTAAAAAAAAAAGAAAAAAAAAGATGCGTTCATTGAAATGAGGAACTTGGTTGATGGTAGTTTCTGCAATGGGCTTCATCATAAGAACTTGACCCCACCTCAACACTCAAGGAAAGCTCTCGAGGGAATTCCCAGTGAGGCTGTGCCATAATCCAAGGTCTCAAAGATACAATGTCCATGGTTTCATGGCATCTTGATACGCCACACAAAGGCCTAAGAAGGTATCTTGTAGGAAGTGACCTGTCTAAACTTCCTTTTCTTCATTGAATTTCCATATTCCTTCATCCTCTATAACAAATAGTTGCTGGTAAATAAAGCTGAAATTCTCTTAATGATAATCTCATTTATGTTCATTATAAGTAAGCACTACAAAATGATAAGATATCCCAACTAAAGATGTTTCTTTTGTTTTTGTGACACACTAAAACCAATTCCTTTATTTGCCTCTCTGAAGAGAAACCATGAGCCATCCTCCAGCCTTTACATAATTGTCAAATTAATATACCCAGGTCACAGGTGGGATCAAGTTGCTTCCCTGCTCAAGAACTTTCAACAGCTCCCTAGTCCCTCTTGACCAAAACATATTGGTCCCTCCTTGACCAAGCATTTGAAATCCTCCACCACCTGTTGTCAGCTTTCTAGATTTATTTCACATTACTTCCCTCTCATGCAGTCTATTGTTCCAGCCAAATTGGACCATTCTCTTTCACATAAACACATCACTTCCCATCTTCCTACATTTGCTTAAGCCATTCCTTTTCCCCTAAAATATACTCCTTCCTCATTTCCACATTTTACAATCCTTATCTTCTTTCAAGGTTCAGATCAAGGGTCACCTTTTCCGTGAAGCTTTTCCTGATCTGTACAACTCCCTAAAGTTATTTTCTATGTATATGTATATGTATATGTGTATGTATATGTATATGTATAATATGTGTATGTGGGTGTATGTGGGTGTGTGTATATATATATATTATGTATGTATGCATATATATATATATGTATGCCCCATAAAGTTATCCCTCTGTCTTAGGTCTCTCCAGAGCTTTTTGTCAGATCTCTCCTTTACCTTTGCCACTCTCCACCCTATATGACACTTATCTCTGTTCATCTTGTGTGCCCCTCTGATAGAAGAAAAGCCCTTTGAGGCCTGGGATGTCTCACTTTTGTCTTTATATCTCCATTACAAAGCATAATATCTACATGTAAGATTATAGGATCATACATTTAAGGCTGGAATAGAATAACTACTGAATCAGCATTTGCTGAATTGGAATGAAGTATATAGACATGAAAATGGAGACTGATAGCTGAGGGTAACCATAGGAGGAAGGGGGAAGCCAATGAGCTTTTCCAATTTTTTTTCATGGGAGGTGCTCAGATAATGTTCCCCACAAACCCAGGGTGAGTATTTCTGCCAGTATATCTTTTTCATTCCTTCTCCATGCTTAAAAGTCCTGCTAAGGCATCTGAACATCTGTTCCTCAGGAATATGATGGGATTGAAGGTAAAATGAAAGGGTGGGAAAGGATACCAGAAGCCCATGTGTGGTAGTCCAAAAGTAAAACTTCTAGATTTCTTAGCCTTGCCTTTCTCGTGACATGTTGTTTCAATTCTCAAAGGAGGGTGAGGGAAGCTGACCCTCCTACTGCCTGGTACCGTTGGCCTGCCTCTTTCTGGAATCCTCATATTTGGAGTCCTTGGCACCTTCTTACCTGTGATATCAGAAATGGAAAAGCAGAGGAGCCTGAGTGAGATGCCTGCCTTCATTATAAAACCCCTGGCCCTCATCTGTATCTTAGAGCAGCCCTATTGTATGGGACAACACAGGTGTACCCATATTGCCCTATAAAACTAGGAGTTCAAAGAGCCTGACAAAGCCTGGGGACCAGGCCAGGAAGGTGGCTTCCTACTGGATTACTGATGTCTTTCCTCCCAGTAGATACCTGAACTGAGAGTCAAATGCCCCTTCTTTGAAGGCTAAGCCATAGACATGTCCTGTTCCTCTGCAGAGCTGGTTGCATCCTCATCTCTGTGGCAACTGTGCTTTATACCCTCTTCCTCATGCCCCCAAGTAATAATATTAATAATAGCTGTCATTTCTAAAGCATTTGTAAGGTTTGCAAAATGCTTTCCATGTGTTATCTCACTTGATCTTCACAACAACCCTGTGAGGTAGGTGCTGTTATTAATCTCCTCATTTTACAGATGAGGAACTGAGGCTGAGCATGAGGCGTCTTGTTTAGTCACATAAGCTAGTTAGTATCAGAGGAAAGATTCAGGTCTTCCTGACTCAGAGTTCAACACTCTCCATTACTCCACCTGGCCTTCCCTTGTGTGAGTTAAAAGTCAAATAAAGGCTTAGTATTGGGGGGGCAATTGGGGTTAAGTGACTTGCCCAGGGTCACACAGCTAGTAAGTGTTAAGTGTTTGGTCTGAGGCCGGATTTGAGCTCAGGTCCTCCTGAGTTCAGGGCCGGTGCTCTATCCACTGAGCCACCTAGCTGCCCCAAAGGAATAGATTTTTTTTTTTTTTTTTTGGTGAGGCAGTTGGGGTTAAGTGACTTGCCCAGAGTCACATAGCTAGTGAGTATTATGTGTCTGAGGCTGGATTTGAACTCAGGTCCTCTTGACTCTAAGGCCGGTGCTCTATCTACTGCACCACCTAGCTGCCCCCAAAGCTTAGTATTTTTAACATCATTGGCCAGTCTGCTTCTCCTATGGGAATCTCTAAATCCCCACAAATGGCTGCAATGAACTACAGAGATGGCATAATGGATTAGTAATCTCTAATTTATGGAATAACTAAAGGATAAACAATAAGTACCTGTCCCCTGAAATACTAGATATGCACCACAATGGTTCTTTGAGTGTATATTAAAATAGATACTGGTGGCCCTATATAGAGACGAGCATAGTTTATCAAAGGGCTAAGTAAGGCTCATCCAGGCAGCTCTCATCTTTCATAGTATTCTAACAGGGAAGGGACTTCAAAGATGATCTGGTCTATTCCCTTCACTTCACAAATGAGGGCTGGAGACGTTCAGTGACTGACCCAAGGTCACACACTAATGAGGAGCAAGAATGAGATTTTTTAACTCAGGTCCTATAAGTCCCAATCCAACGCTCTTTCTACTGTGTTATACCATCTCCCTCCCTGTACCTGCCTCACCCCAAGTTGCATGTCTATGCTTACAACAATTCTGATGATGGATATTGGACATGCCTTGCAGAATTCCAATCCTGGCCTCTTAGGTATCTGATGCTGCTCCTTACAATCCTCTTCTCCTCCAGGCCAGCTGTGTGCCTTGTGCCTTGTTCCTCCCCCATCCTAACAGCTCATCCAGAGCTTTTAATCCTACTTTTGAAATCTGCTCTGTTCTCTCAGCCTAGGGTCTTCTGTTTCTAATCCAGTTTCTTCCCGTAAATGGAATTGTAATTTTGGCTACATGGAGAGGGAAGGGACATTTAAAGCTCATTCAACTACACCATTTTAAATACTTTATGACCCTTGCTTCAAACACACACACCCAAACTATTGTGATAATGAAAAAAAAAAACATCTCTTGTATTTTTGCCTCAAACTTTTATCATAGCAGAAAACTCTGGAGATTAGGGTTTACTAGTTAGTTTGCTATTGAGACTGGAAAAGGAGGTTTGTCTCCCTTTGACTTCTGATCTTAGATACAAGTACCAGAAGAAACCTAAGAAACAAGAAATCAGGCCCTCAGACAACAGAATAGAAAGTAAAGAAATTGCCTTGAACCTTTATTGTCAGGAAAATGGGTTTTCTGAAGTCCTCCGTCATTCTGATATCCTGGTCACTGCTGCACAGCAGGATTCAGGTCTATCCTTACATCAGAATTCTGCTGACACTTTTCCATCCTAACACCTCTAACCAAATTAGCCACTCTAAGGCATTTGCCTTCTGGAATTAAAGCTCCTAACCAAGAGGAAAGGTGCTGTCATAACGAGATCAGTGATGCTTTCAAGAGCTGTTTACTTTCTTATTGGATGGTCTTATGGTAAGTTTGACTCAAAATGTCGACCCCCTTGTTGTTATTGAGGTGGAGAGGGAAGGAGGAACAGAAGAAAGGACTGGTTGGTCTGATGAAGGCAAAGAATGGTAAAACACATCCTTGCTTCTTTCCACTTTAAGCCGTTGCCAAACCCCATTACCATCTTCCTGCCAACTGTCCGACAAGAATTGTTCAGACGTTTTCATTTTTACCTATGCAGTTTTGACTGTGAAAGCAGAGGGAAGTAGCTTCCAAGGGCCTTAGGGCTGAAGATGTACGGTATCTTAAGATAAACTTCCGTTCTGGAGGTGGGGGAGGGGAGCGGCAGTCCTTCTGGTAACCATGGTGTTTCCATGACAATGCTTGGGGTAAAGTGCCCAAGGGAACAGCCAGCTAGGGCAGTATCCTCACTGCTGAGAAACTTTTCAGAAGAAAGGTAGGATCCTGTTCGGTCTTGGATGGGAAGTAATGGAAATGAGAATTTCTCCATACTCTGATCTTTTTTCTTTCTGGTGGGATGGTTAGGTCAAGTTAAGAGCAATAGCTCACGTAACAGGAATGGGGAAGGGCAGAACCGAACACGGATGCTGGCTAGGGAAATAAAAGGCTTTGGATCACCAGTTGTATAAACTCTACAGATACAAAGTGAGGCTCAAGTCAACTTAGCAAAAGCAGAGCATTAGGAGCATCAGATCTGAATATAAGGGCAAGAGCACTGATAGTCCTGAAATAAAGGTCTGTATGTGGGCCTCTGAGATTCTAGTTGTAGGATTTCTTGCATTCTTCCTTGAGTTTCTTGAAAGGAGAAAGGTACCATTCAATATCGATATCACTCTTTTATTCTAGAGGAATAGAATCTTTCCATAATGATCGACCTCTCCTTGGCTAGGAACATAATTCTTGTTGTTCCACTGTCAAATGAGGCTCACCAAACCTTATCATTCTAAAAGAGGAGCATAAGCAGGTGCCTGGACCTACCTGGACTATTCCCAAAATGAAACCATACCTACTGTCCCAGAGTTTGTGCATTCCTAGGTACTCACATTCCCTTATCATTTTGATCTCTCCCCAGATTTAGTCCCCCTGCCTTTCATGAAAACCAATCTTCTCCACATCTAACATGTAGTCTCATCTTCTTGGTGCCAATAGAGCAGCAGTAGTATCCTTGGCTGGCCAGCTCATTAGCAAAAATCCTATCTCCCTTACCAGGGATGGTACAGGGAGGAGTATGCAAACTGGAAGCCCCTGAAAGCAGTCTGCATTTGCCTGCTCCACAGGCCAAGGCAAAATTTAAAGTTGCAATGCCCCTATTTTCCTCCAATCTGGAAAACCCATCCCCTGGAAAATGGGCCAACCCTAAGAAAGGTTAGGCCATCTCCAGTTTCCATTAGACCTTGCTAGGAGATCCAACAAATATGAAATTTCCATGCTTTTGTCACATCTGGATCTTGTATTATGTTGGGAGGGTGGTGGGACAAGGGAACGTAGCTTTATCACCAATGGAACATTGCTTTATCCCCAAAATAAACAGTAAGTATTAAGATACCATCTGGTAGTTGGAAACACAGCTGGGGAGAGGCAGCTGGGGATTGTTGCTTCCTAACTACCTTCTTTTCATGGCGTCCAGCAGGTAGTATCTATATTCTTGGCCTTGTTTCACCATCTATGAAACAGAGGCAAGCAGGCACACTTACCTCAATCCAAGGAAGAGGGAACATGTGGTCAGCCTGCTGAGCACTCAATTGAGGGGGTGGAATGCAGCAAAAAAAAAGAGCCCATCAAAGCATCCTCATAACAAACCCAGAGAGCTGGGTTACTCCTTCCCTCTCCACCCCCACCCCCAACCCAGCCCAGACCTACTTCCAAAGAACTCATGAGCAGCATTCAATCCAGGCTAGTAGGTGAGGGGGTGGGGAGGGAGGGAGGACAGACATGCATAGCATCCCTTTCTTTTCCTTCTCTTCCCCACCCACCAAGGAGTTTGCAAGAGAAGAGATTGAGGAGTGGGGGGAAGGGAGGGAAGAATGCATCATCAGAAACACAAAGGAAAGAAAACTAAAGGGGGAGGGGGATTAATCATAAATTGGGGCTGCTGCAGCTGCACAGAAGGTGGAAAGGAGGACTGGAGATAAGCTAAGGCTACAAAGGCAGAGATGATACCGAAACAGGGTGAGAGCGAGAATACAGGACAAGTAAAGAATAAAAAAAGTCCATTGGTCTAAAAGAGGAAGGAGGAGAAGGGAGGAAAAAGGGGAGAAAAATAGAGCTATTTCATTTGCTTTTTTTGTTTGTTTTTAAAATTTTCATTTTTAAAAATTTCTTTCTTTTTTTCTTTTTAAGAATCTCACACCTGATATTCCACGTTCCATCCATTTCGGTTCACCAAGGGCAATGAAGAAATTCTCTTGCCTTTCGTATTCCTCCTCATCTACTATTTTAACCCTTACGGTTTTCCTGTAGGGACAACAAGAGAGACAGTGTGTATAGTGGGTTGGTTGGCTGGTCTCCTGGAGTGCATTCTGCAATATAGTACCCATTGCTCTCATCACATGCAGCCCCATCCCGCCACGGCCATTGGCAGGATTATGGTGGTTTTTGTTGTTGTTGTTGGTTTTGGCTTTTTGTAGGTTTGGGGTTTTTTGGTTGTCATTCTAAAAACAATCATAATAATAATTGGTCTCTGTTTTTCTTAGCATCTCAGTTGTAATTCTTACAGGTGAGTTGGGAAGGGAGTTGAAGGAAGCAGGAATGACAGGTAAGAGGGGAGAAGGAGGAAAGGGGTAGGAGAAGACAGGGAGAAGATTTAGTCCCTGCTGATGGTTAGTGGGAGGTATCTTTCTGCCACACACATTCCATCTGGCATCACATGGTATTGATGGCACCCTGTCAGCCGACTGTCAGCCAAGATTGGGCAATAAAGCCAAGGTGATAATTTACCTCCCATGGCCTAATACCCATCTTTCATGAAAGATCTAAACATAAGGGGAATAGAGAGCTGGAGAAAGAGAGAAGGAGAAACAACTCTTCCTATACTGTCTCTGGCTGTAAGATGGCTGATTGTATACTATGCCTTTTTTTCCTGTTTCAGAGCTTTGTTGGTAGAAAAGATATGCCAAAGATGCCCTTCCACAATTGGAACAGGCACGTCATTTAAAAGTTGCCTGTAAAACAGAATTATGTAAATTGAATCCGAAATGCCCATTAGCTTACATAATTATGTATAATATGGTATTATATAATTATATTACTATAAGTGGTGCTGTGTCCCAAAGTTGGCTCCACTACATGTCACAATTAATCACCATGAAAAAAAAAATCCCCCCAGTGCCTAACACAACACCTAGCATTATAACAAATGCCTGGTAATTGCTTGTTGACTTGACTTGTCTTGATATAGACATAGGATGATAATTTTCTGTCTCTGAGTAGCTCAACAAAGTATATAGTTTCTTTAAAAGAAAAGGAAGTAGGAAAAGCCAGAGGTAGGACTTTTCTGTGATTGTAACCACTACAAACCTACTGGCACACAGCTGGGCAGCCTTCATTTCAGTACTGTTCCTTTAAAACAGATACACACACACACACACACACACACACACACACACACACACATATAAACATACAGAAGCAGCCACATCCTCATAGTTATTTTTAGCTGCTTGCATTGGACTGAGGCTGAAATGGCCCTGGGGGCTGAGAGGACTTGAGCATTTCATAAGCCTGAATCTTTAGGTACTGTCTGCTGAATTGGCTTCCTACCTCATTTCAGCGAAATTTTGTAGGTTTGCTTTTTTTGTTGTAAGGAGGATCACTTATTCTACACAGATGCCAGAAATCTAGGAAACTATCACCTCAGTAGATGGTTCTGTATACCTGTGCTCAGCTACCTAGGATGCTTGTTTGTTTGTGGTTTTTTCGGCATGATTTCTATGTATTTTCCCTATCTTGTCTCCCTTTAGATCAAGGGTTCTTAACCTGGTCACCATGAACTTGTTTATTTTTTTTGATATTTTGATAACTATATTTCAATATAATTGGTTTCCTTTGAAATCCTATTTCTATTTCTACTCTATTTTCTTCATTTAAAAAAACATTATTCCAGAGGTTTCACCTACTTCCAAAGAACTTATGAGTAGCGTGTATTTAATGCAAGCTAGTGAGTGAGGCTGTGGGGGGAAAGGGAGAACTGACCTGCATAGCATCCCTTTCTTTCCCTTCTCTTCCCCAACCATCAATGAATGTGTTTGAGGAGATGTTGAGGAATGGGAGAATGAGAGAAGGAGGCATCATTAGATTACCAAAGAGGTCAGTACCACCAAAAAAAAAAAAAAGGTTAAGAACCCTTCCTTTTAGATTGTAAACTCTTTGAGAGCAGAAACCATACATACAATTTTCTTTGGAGACAAGTTATTTTGTGCCTTAAGTGAATTATTTCCTTCCTGGTTGCCAGCCATCTGGTGGGGTAGGAGAAAGCCTCCAATGTAATATTGACCAGAATCTTTTCTTCCTACTTTCCTCCCTGTCTTCTCTGTCAGTCTCTCTCCTTTTCTGTCTCTCTGCACCCATTCCCTTGGTCCCACCCTGATTCCACAAAGAAAGCAAGTGCCACTGAAGAGATCCCTTATGGGTACCATGTGACAGGCTGACATATGTATGGCAGCATTAAGGATTGAGCAAAGAAACAGAGGGAGAACAGGAAGGGAGAATATGAGAGGAAAAGGGAGAGTGGATAACAAGAGTGAGAAGACAGGAGGAAGAAAAAAAGGAGGTGAAAGAAGAAGAAAGAGTGTTAATGTTAGTGTGGAGGACAGGGTACTACACCTTTCTGTAAACTCATATCCACCATGCGGGGCCCCATCAGTTCAATGAAGTAATTCTTGTTTTTCTCATACTCCTCATCATCAATTACCTTGATGTGAATTGTTTTGCTGTGGATGGAAAAAAAGTATCATAAGCAGGCAGAAGTGGGGCAGGCTAACCAGGGAAGGAGAGGACAAGAATTAAAAAAAAAAAAAAAAAAAGGAAGGAAGAAAGAAAAAACAAACAAACAAACAAATGAGACCAGAAGGTCAAAGTTAACTCAACCACCATACAATTTCAAGTGGCCTAAGAGGATATGCTGGGGCCTCTCCTAAGCCTAAACTTCAAAAGGGACCAGTTAGGGTTTCTATAAATATCAAAGGGATATACAAGGAATAACCAGGTCTTTGAGCCCAGAGAAACTACAATAGCTCCTCAATTCCATATAGATAACTAAAATAAAGCATGGTTGGTTGAACCTCTATTGGAAATCTCTTTCTTGGGAAAGAAGGTAGGGTGGGATGGAAGGTCAAGGGTTTATAGGCCAGACTTGTTTTGGGATAAATTTATTTCTTTATTTGTCTTTTTAAAAAAACTTAACAAATTATAAATTCCTTTCAGGCAAGAATTTTTTTGTTTTTGGAGGGGGAGAAAAAGAGGGAAAAGTAGGAAGACCTCTGTACCTCTACTGCCTAGCATGTAGATGTACTTGTACACAGTACATATTTCACAAATATTTGTTGAATTGAATTGTGAACTGTCTTCAACACATCCAGGACTCTCCTACAGAGATAGATGACATTGTTAGTTTGGTTGGGTGGGATAATGTCTTCTCCCTTTGCAGACAGATTGGGGTAATAGTTTTCAAGCACAAATTTAAGAGCTCTGTCATGCCTCTTATTGAAATGTTGGCTCCCAAATCCTGATGTAATTTTGTTCACCCATTATGTTCCAGTGTCCTTTCTATTCTATTTCTCTATTTTTTTTAAAATATTGATATGTTTAATGGCTGATGTGGTCTAACTGTTCTGCTCAACTAAGATGTACCAAGTCCCCTTAGTTGTCCATTTCCTGAACACTCATAGTTTATGCTATTTACCTAAAGTCAAATCTATACTCTCATCATTCTTAAAACGAAAAGAAAATGGTCACTACTCCAGAAAACCAAACCCTTACCATGAACAAAGAATTACACGTACTGACTAGCCAGCCCCTGAGCAGTTTCAACCTGGGAAGAGGTCACAAAAGGTAGCTTGTGAGCCCTTATAGACCATCATTTTGAGGACATGTGACCCTTGACCTTCCTTCTTCAGAGAAGAGAGTTGGTCTCTTGACCACTATTTGGGATTTGGTAGTGAGTGATCCTAGGGAAATTTCCCCTATTTTTTATTAAATCATGGAAGGTAAAGGGTAGAGCTCGAAGCAGGATAGGCTAGAAACAAGGACTTTAGTAATATGTATATGATTCTGGTGGTAAGTATTCTCTCCACAGATGCAGATTGCAGCCTCTCTACAGTTTGGTTGATAGTTGGGTTTCAAGAGCTGCTGTAGGAAAAGTTTGCCAACTTGTGGCCACTTCCTTCCCTCACCTAATTCTGAGGCAGATAGCTATTACATCATTGGCACTTACTCAAGGTCTTTCCAGTTTGATAGAACCAAAAAGCAGAGCTTGCTCTCTATTGGCATAGTCTTCAAGAACCCAATTTCACCTTCATGGCCTAATGAGACATCATAGCAGGACTTCAGTGGAGAAGAAACAGAAATACTTTCAAGACAGTCCAAGGGAAGTCCATGGAAGAAGAAACCTCAAGTTATTAAGGAGAGTTGGGGAAATGCAATCATTTCTGAGGATGATGTCATGAAAGGCAGCCATGATATTCTCCTAAAAATATCCCCCTGGTACCTTTTTCTAATCCAAAATACTAGACTAAATAAAATATATGACTAAAACAATATGACCTTTCTTATGCTCTCTTCTGTCATGAGCAAAATTATGAAATGCTGGGGCAGCTAGGTGATACAGTGGATAGACTACTGGCCCTGAAGTCAGGAGGACCTGAGTTCAAATCCAGCCTCAGACCAAACACTTGCCACTTACTAGCTGTGTGACCCTGGGCAAGTCACTTAACCCCAATTGCCTTAAAAAAAAAAAAGAATTTTGAAATCCAGCCTCCATCCCTGTAGGAAACAGAGATGAGAGATTGGGGACTAAATTACAATTAAAGGCTTATGTTAGACTATAGGGAGAATGAATCGAGGGTAGAGAATAAGCATTTATGTAGTGTCTACTATGTGCCAGGCACCGTGCTAAGTACTTTTGTTTTACAGATATAATCTCATTTGAGTCTCACAAAACTCTGCAAGGTAAATGCTCTTACCCCCATTTTATAGTTGAGGAATCTGAAGCAAACATAGGTTAAGTGACTTGCCCGGGGTCATGCAGCTAGGAAATGTTGGAAGCCATATTTGAATTTAAGTCTTCTCAACAATAGACCCAGTGCCACTGTGCCACCAGCTGTCTCAAGTTACCCAGTAAAATACTCCTTCCCCACCTAAGGATGGAGTAAAGAGCCCTGTTGCTCTATTCGTTGAGATGCTATCTTACCCAGAGGCTTGCTAAATCACTTCCAACCTCTGAATTCTATAACTAATCC